CAATGCCGAGACAGAGGAATGTTTCTAAGTACTATTGGGTTCACATCTGAATATACCGGGATCCCGTTGTTTTCAATGCAGATGTAGTGATCCTCTGCGCAGGCTTGTTTTGGAATGACCCAAGCAATCTCGGTAATGATCGGGAAATGATGGAGCTGATAAAAGATCCCCTTTCTGCTCTACATCATCAAACGACCGAATGATCAAAGGATTAAGGTGTTGATATGATAGCCATGTAGATGGTTTGTCACTACTGATGTGCCACTTGAGATCATTGAGATATCAAGCAACGTCGGCCTGGGTGACCAGCAGTTGTGGTCCTTGTTCACATCGCTTGATCGCAAAGTGGAGTTACTGATGAGCAAAATGAGTATATATTTATGTCATTGGAGGAAGACACGCAACTAACCACAATTGCTGTCAATGAAAATCCGACTGAGGTGATGGCTACCGTCTCGTGTGCCCCAGCGGTCTAGAATGCCTCTAAAGAGGCCTCTGATGTCGTACTGGAAGCTGTCCAAAGCGAGACCGAACTTATAGCCCTTGTGCCCAATAAAAGCAAGAGGAAGAGGGCTAGGAAAGTTCGTAAGGCTCCCTCAAATCCTGAAGGTATTGAAACTATTAAGGTATTGGAGGTGGAGGACAAAGCTCCAACTCCAATCACCCCAATTCCATTGGCGAAGCAACGCGCCGTGTCGACTTCGGCAGCACCCGCGAAGTCTGAAAAGACTAGACCGGTGTGAGAGTTGGAAGTAGAACACAAAGCCTCAATCTCAATTACACCAGCTCCCTTGGCGAAGAAACGCGCCGTGTCACTTGTCAAACCGGTCGATACTGGGGTCGAGTCGAAAACGAGGTGATTCTTTTATTGATAGTAGCGTTATCTTTCGTAACATTGTTGATTCCGCAGCAGTTCTTCCCAAGGAACGCATGCTGGATGACCTCCAGTGGTTCAAGCTCTACGTCAACAAGATGCTTCCACCTGGTTTCCCGGTGTCACTATCTGGAAGCTAACCAGATTGGAGAACGTCCCTGTAGATATGCCAAATCCGCGACCCCGACTACTTCGTGTAGTCCTCTCAACCCCGGAGGAACGTAAAGCGTTAATGCGCTTTGCATTCAAACTCAAGGGTAGTAATGTCAGCGTTCAGCCGGACCTCCCACTGGCAGATCGACTGGAGTTAAATGAAGCTATCAAAAGCCTTCAGAGCAGGCGGGCGGCTAGTGAGCAAGGTCTTCGTCTTGGAGGTTTTCAGCTGGTCATCCAGAAGTCGAATTCTGCCCTATCAGAACCCCTCCTGGTAGCGTACGACTCAGGGATGGTCATGCCGAATTTCTTCGGGTAGTGCTTAGTTATGTGCGTAGCCTAAGGAACAAGGTACACGAGGTGGGTCTACTTGTAGACAAATCTCGTCCCGACATACTTGTTATCACCGAAACGTGTCTGTCCCCGGATATCACAGACGGTGAAGTATGTTTACCTGGCTACGCACTGCTTAGATGTGATCGCTCCGTTGGCCGCCAAGGTGGTGACATCGCTCTTGATGTGAGTCGTAAACTTCATGTGTTGAGGACCTGCGTTTCCCAGTCACCGGAGCCAACTGTTGAAGCCCTGTCGACTATTGTGTGCACTTCCTATGCCCAGTTTATAGTTGTAGTGGTATATCGAAGTCCTGGAAGTATCTCCAGGGAGGTTATTGAATTTATTCGTACTCAGGCTGCCAATGGGGGGTCTAATACTGGGTGACTTCAACCTCCCTGAAGTCTGCTGGGCTGATCTATCTTGCAGTTCGGCGGTGAACAGTTTCGGTTCGGATCTCCTCGAGCTAACATTACAACTGCCGTTGCATCAGTTCGTGGACCTCCTGACTAGATATATGTGCAATCAAATTCCGTCTACCTTGGATCTCATTTTTGCGAAGTCACATGATTTCGTAAGTAATCTTACAGACGGCTGTCCTCTAGGAGCCAATGACCATGTCTGCATATCCTTTCGATGTGCTCTAAGTGTCATCAAGCTACGGCTGAAGCATGTCCAAATATTTGGCGGGCAGACTTTAACGTAATGCGAGACAAAGATTCAGTTCTGCGTTGCGCGATCACCGTAGCTAACACCGTTGAGACAGCCTGGAAGAAATTTAGGGCATATCTCACCGAGATCTCTGCTACCCCCCCCACCACCACACACACATACGTATATATATATATATATATATATATATATATATATATATATATATATATATTGCAACAGTCTATGAATAGATATTGAGCCATCGGAAACCATGGAACTCAAAACAAGGCACAGAAATAGTAAAAGAAAACACAACAAAGTCCATGGTTTTGTCAGAGCGCGAGATACTACCAGGTTGCCCAAGCCGAAGTAACGTGTTGACTTAGAAGACACCAACCCGAGCCTTTGGCTGAATAGTCTGCCCGCAAGGCAGCGGAGCGAATTCAGGGAATCGCGCCTATTGGGAGCCGGTGACTAAATGCTCAGTTCATACGCATTTTGTTTGTTCCTTTGTCAAAAAGGGGCCCAAAGCTCCCCAAAATTACAGCACAGTTGCTCCCCACATCTCACTCAGTAAGAGACGGGTGACAAGGGCGCAACATTCTTGGATAGATCATACGGGTAAATACCTACTCAGGAAGCGCTCTAAGTGCTGGCGAACTTACCAAGCGGCTTCATCAACCAGCACCTACGAAAGCTATCGAGCGATTAGAAATAAATGTAAGTAACATCTTAGAACTCTTCGTCTTCAGTACGAGGAGGAAGTGGCCAACGAAGACGTAACAAATCCAAAGTTGTTTGCTTACGTAGAGACGCAGCGGTACAAACTCGTCTACACTCCATTTACTATGAGCTGACGGGACCCATGGGCACACCGACTATGATAAGGCTTGTATACTTAGCGAACAGTATACTGGTGTCACTTCTCGTGAGGCCTCTCTATCTCAAAATGAGCTAGTCACAAAAGTCCCGGAGAAGTCTTGCCTAACTGTAATCAGCATAACGGAGACAAGTCTTCGGGCTATTGCAAGAGTTAAATTCTACCAAAGCTTCTGGCCCAGATTAAATTCGTCCGAAGCTGATGCATGAATTGGCCGCTGAGCTAAATGGCCCACTGACATGCATGCTTACAATATCGCTCGACAGCTGTGCCTTACCTTCGGAATGGAAGAAGGCAATCATCTGTCCGATTTTTAAGGGCGGTGACAGAGCTCTGGCCGCGAACCACCGGCCTGTCAGCTTACCAAGCGTAGTAGTTAAGTGGTTTGAAAAATTGCTCAGTGATTCGGTGAATCACCTGCTTAAGTCTAACCTTCTCAGTGCGGAACAGCACGGATTCCGTAAGGGATTTTCATGTCTGACAAGTTTACTTGTAGCTCGTGAAAGCTGGGCTGAAGCAGTAGACAACGGTCACGCTATCGACGTGCATTTCATTGACTTCCCGAAAGCCTTTCATACTGTCCTACATCAACGACTCTCATTGCAGTTGAGATCGTATGTGATCTCTGGAACCGCCCTTAAATGGGTCTCTGCTTTCCTAGAGCGGAGAGAACACTGTGTACGCGTGGGGAGTAGCCTTTGGCTTAGACAAGCTGTTCTTAGTGGCGTTCCGCAGGCCTCGGTTCTAGGGCCGTTGCTTTTCGCAATTTATGTCAATGACCTACCCCAGGAGCTTGAAGTACCGTCGCTATTGTTTGCTGATGACCTCAAGCTTTGGAATATTGTGGATATCCCTGGTGGCTCTGAGGCACTTCAGAGGGCCTTGGATAGGCTCTGGGATTGGTCAACCTTATGGTTGATGTCTATAAATCAGGTGAAGTGTTCTGTCTTCCTCATTGGAGGTGTTAGTCCTCCCACGCGCTGTTGGTACAAGTGAACTCCCTGTTGTCACTCGGCAGGTTGATCTAAGTATCACCCACACCACATTGCTTCACTCTGGGGACAATTAGAGGAAGGCTGCTTGTAGAGGGTTCCTTCAGTGTCCTAACGGCCAATATTTTTATGAAGGTGTTCTCAGCTTTTGTGCGACCCTACTTAGTGTACTGTATCCAGGCTTGTCCACCTTGTCTTGTAAAAGACAAAATGGAAATGGAGATGGTTTTGCGAGTGGGTACAAGGTTAGTGCAAGGATTACGGGGCCAAACGTATCCCGAAGGTTTGCTTAGCTTGGGTACTATCGCAGAATTAAAGGAGACTTGATCACTTACCGTATCTTAACAGCGAAGATCGGTTCAGACTTGTCTTGGCTATTTAGTCCCGCCAAGCTGCCTAGTCTCCGAGGTCACCCGTTGAAGCTGCACAAACTGCGTTCCGACCGGGTAAGGACGGAAACTCGCTTGTCGCGCCGAGTTATTGAACGTCGGAACTCGCTTCCGGAGCACGTCGTTAGGGAGTCTACGGTTGAGGGTTTCAAGCGTCAGTTAGATGCTCTTGGGTGGCAGTACCAAACCTTCCCCTTCTCCTAACCGACTTGTATCTTCAACTTTCCCTGCGTTTTTTAAAATTTCTTATCACACCTTAGTATAATCATTGTTTAGCTGACATTCCTCCGCTTGTTTTCTTAGCTTACCCTACACTCTTTTACTTCACAAAAACCGGCTTGTCAGGGACTGCTGGGCAGGAAAATCTGGGCAGTAATTGGTTGGACAGGGTGTGATGCGGTCTCTGTTTTAGGCTTTTCTACATCTCAAGCAGACCTATCAACCTCCGATCCGACGATACGTAAAAGAAGGAACATTTATGGGATTAGCCTATCGTTCCGGTTTCAACTGAACTTGAACTTGATTGGACAAATGAGAAAACTGAGGAAAGAAACGTATAAGTTAAGGATCGCCGCTTATATATATATATATATATATATATATATATATATATATATATATGCATATCTTGATTGAAACCGATTTTCATTGCATCGAAAGGTAACTCCTCATGTGATGCAACCGCAATAATTACTCCAACACATAAGGAAAAGAGTATCACTCACGGAAGCAGCAATTTGGCGATATAAGGCAATGCCAAACACGGTGTCACGAGTATTTTCCAAACTAGGCAGAGTAAAGTAGACTATATCTAAAGCAAAAAGAAAAGCTGTTGACAAACACCTACCGCTTAGAAAATTATGGGCACCATCAGGGAGTGCTAGAGAGGCAAGGTTTTTCCATTTAGGAGGGACAATGACATTCCCATTTGGAACATTTGTGCCACAGTCGGTAAAGGATGGGTAAACGAGTTCAATCTATGATTTCAGTGAAGAAATACAAAGATTACAATAGAGCCCTTCCTATGATGGAATCCAATCATACACATATGAACAACACAGCCCGATTCATTCATTGAGAACAACTGTATCCAATGTAGTATGTGTCTGGTCAAGGGTTCCGAGGGCTTCCGTGTCCGGGGCGTACGAGGGTCGTAATAAACCAAGGGAGCTGAAAGGCAAGAGGTACTTCGTAGGCGGCTGGACAATTATACGGCAACCACCTAGCAACAGTCGGAGCTGGAAGTAGAGTGTACCTGTCTTACACCTTGCAGCGAGCTGGACGGCACTGTTACAGCTGCCGAGGGAGGGCCGAAAGTGAAGTAACTGGATGAATGGCGTGAAAACACGCACGAGATGGCTGCTCTAACGACACTGAAGACGAAATGGGGAGGAAAAGTGGAAGTTCACATTCAAGTAAGACTGGGATAGTATGGAATTTACGTGTGTGTTCCTTTGTGACGACGTTGATTCAAGGTATTTATCAGCGGCAACATCGATAATCTTGGAGAGCCAAAGCAACATGAGCGAATCACACTAAAGTCAACCAATTAATACCCACGCGACCTGCACTAACAGTCCCGCTGCACCGGCCCTGTGAAGTGGGAGTAAAAATACTGTGACAAAAAGGCGGAAATAATCGGAAGTAGAAAAGCAATAGTATGTAAGAGTAAAATGCAAGATGTAAAAGGGAAGATTGGAATTGCAGCCTAAGAGTAGCGAACTTATGCTCGAACTCCTCTGTTTGCGGTGACACCACGTCTTCAGGTAATGCATTCTAGGAATCAACAAGTCTACGTGAAAGTCGAACGTTGATCCAAACCCCATTGGATCGGGATTTGTGCAACTTCATTGAATGACCACAGAGAGATGGCAGTGGGGTTGGCTCAAAAAGCCAAGACAAATCAGGGACAATCTGCCCTGTCAGTATAGGATAAGCCAAAATCAAGTCGCCATAATGTCAACGACAGTGGTGAAAACATTCCGAGTTTAAGCAGCCTTCCTGGATAGGACAGGTGCCGAAGGTTTTGGACAATTTTTGTGCTAATCCTAAGGACCCACTTCACTGACATCCTAGCACGAACCAAGCACGGTGGACAAGCTAGGACGCAATATTCTAGGTGCAGTCTAATGAAGGCCGGAAACAGTCTGAGGAACATTTCCCATGTAATGATTCCGAACGACCTGCGGATCATCCACAGCATTCTGAAACCTTTGCCGGCGGTTTTCTTTCAGTGCTCACCAGAGTTGAAATCGGATGAAAAAACAACACCCAGGTAAACCAGCTGGGACATCTGAGGCAGCTCGTGCACTCCATGCATATAACGTGAGGGAATCAACTTATCCTAGGTGTAGCACTGAACACGGTCTGATCAAAAGGCATCTGTCACAGAGCAGACCAGTCTCGTAAATCCTGGCGACCATCGGAGTTGGTCAATGGGCACCAAAATCTCAAGTCATCGGCAAACACGAGGGGTAGTACGTCTAAAACTTGGGGTAACTCATTTACATACAGAGAGAACAGTGGGTTAAGTACCAATCCCTGTGGAACCACACCGAGGACTGATTGCCGGAATAACACGCGTGAACCCACTTTGACGAACACCATTCGATCTTCCAAAAAAGCTGATATCCATCTATGTACCTGTTCAGATAGTCCATAGGTGTAGCTTTAATAAAAGGCCAGAACGCGGAAGGTACCAAGTGCTTTAGTAGTCTATGGAAAGTGCATCCACCGTGTGTCCCTAATCCATAGCGTTAGCTTACCGTCCGCGTGCCATCAATAATTTGGTCAAGCAGGAATGGCCTTTAAAAAAGCTATGGTACAATGGACTGAGCAAACCAAATGTCCCCACATGGTTCTCAAGTCCATTTCTTACCAGTATCTCTAACAGCTTGATCAGAACGCTCGTCAAACCTACAGGTCTGTACTTCGTAAGTAAATGCGTGTCCCTTTTAAAGACAAAGATAACAGTCTGCTTTCAGCCCTAAAGTAGAGTACAACTCCGAAGCAACGTATCAGACCAATGATGGGTGCAGAAAGCTCAATTGAAATCTCATAGAAAACTTGAGGTGAATCGTATCCCCACCAGAGGCTTTACTAAGATTAATGTTCGATAAAAGTAGGAGAACCTGAGTCTCAAACAAATACAAATTAAAAAGAAGTCTTGTGGAACTCTCAAAGCTAGATCAACAAGCGGCAAATTACTCTCCGACAAATGCGCCAGCATACTTCTCAACGAGAACACAAGCTTTGCGCTGATCCGTATGTGCGGCAGTGTCGTCATTGGTATGGAGGGATTTAATCTACTGTCTTTTAATATAAACGTGGAATTGCTATGGATTTGCAAAGGCTGAATAAAGTTCCAGAAATCTTCAGCGTAATTTGTAGAATGTTCTACGCAAAGCCCAAAGCATTCTGTTGGCTGCCGCGACTTTCTGCGTGTCTTGAGATCGTGCGAGACGATGAGTCCCCTACCGAGGGCAGTTTGGGGAGTAAAAAGACCATCTATCGACAACACTCATCTCTTCTTCGCATGACGGAGAATGTTGACATCGTGACTTGCTAATGACATGAATGGTCAAGTGGGCCGTCTTTCAGATTCTGTATAACACCTGGGTGACCGTTTTGAAGTCGATGGACGCGAACAGACAGTGATCGAATCCTGCAACTGTGCGCCGACCATAACCATTACTTTGGCAGCACAGCATTCCAGCACAAACGTTCACACCGCGTCACCTGGTGCACATTGAATCCTGGACCAAAAATGACCATATTGCCACCGGTAACAGAGGACGCACATCAGTCCAAGACTGTGGGTCAATTTTGAGCATGTGCCTGGATTCCGACCATGCTCTAGTGTGCACGCTTGGTGCTCGCTCATCCCGCTTCCAAGAAGCGGTTATCCTCTAACTTCTTATCTGCAACGAACTCGCAAGCTGCAATTCGATAATATCACGACGAACTGGCTCACCATTTGTGTGATGAATGAGGTTGGTGAACCAAACGCTGACTGCGACCGCCTCGAATGTGCCATGAAGAATGCGTTTGACGCATGCAGTGCATACAAGTTGAGATGCCGTAAATCGAATGGATTTCTCAAGAATCGATTCGCTGAGTCGAAGCAGGGAGATAAGATCTAACGGGCGTAGAGTTTCAGCGTGTCCGTAACTCAGAAACGACGCGTCACAAGGACGCTTTGAATGGGGAAGGTTAGTGGATAGCAAGGGCCACGTGCCGGACTTTCAATGTTCAGATGAAAGAACAGCTGTAACTCGCTTCCTGGCTCTCCTCTTGGGATACGTCGAGTATAGATCAAATCGCCGCGACGACGATGCTAATCCAGAGGAAAAAGTTTTACTCGCTGGAGACGGAGAAGATAAGATAGGCATCGCAGCTCTGACACGCGTTCAGATACACGGCGTTGGACATACTCCATCCTATCGCATTCGGTCTTCGAGAAAGGATGAGCAGTTGGCAAACCGTACTCGAGAACTGGGCCCATGTATGAGGCAAACAGGAAACAGAAGAGCTTTGGAGTAAGAAGGGAGAACGCTCTTCGTAAGGCATAAAACATCCTGTAAGCAGGGACGACCCATTTCCGGGTGTCCTCAGTTGTTTTGAAGTAAGGAGACAGTTACTCCGAGGTCCCTCACCTGAACGACATTTCTAAGCAGGAAACCTCCAATATGGTACACCCCAAATGGTTCACGAGCACCAATCAGAATCAAATTTAAAAGGGGCAAAAAGGAAAAATTTCTGTGTTCACTCAATCAAAAGTGAATCAGATGTCATTCTAAGTGCACCCTGGGTCCAGTGGTTGAGTACTTGATGGGTGGTTGAAGTGCCATTGAGACATCTTCATTATGGTACAGATCATCAAAATACTAGTCCAAGCCTCCTTTAAATTGGTAGAGGGTTTCAGATTGCACAATCGTCGACGGCAGACGACTCCAGTAAGGCACGACTCGTCGTTCGAAACAGTAAGCATACTTTACATTGTTTATTCGTTTTACTTCTAGCTTGCATTGATGCACCCTTGTAATGTCAGTTTCATTGGTTTTATATAGAGGACGAAGGGAAGGTAACTGTCCCAGCCGTAATATTCGAAAAACGGGTATGAGGTCCATTCTTAGTCGCCGGTATTCTAGATTATACAATCTTAATCGTCGACATCTGTCAATGTAGTCCAGTGTCCGAAGAGAAGGAATTATCCGCGTAGCCAGCAGTTGCATCCTCTCAAGAGTTTTAGCTTCACCCCGCGTAACCGGATAGTAAGCTTGTGCGGCGTATTCCAAGAGAGGACGTACTAGTGCTGGGTAATCCTTAAGAACTATTTCCTCCGTCCATATATGGAAACTGCTTATTAGTGCCCAAAGTACCCTTAAGCCTGATCGGTACGCCTTTTAGTATGATCACATAATTTAACGCCTCCGCGTGACGACACTCCCAGGTCCCGGACACTAGGAACCGCGGTTAGTTGTTTTCCATCCAGATTCAGATGGACTGGAACGATAGAAAAATCCCTTGAGTGTTCATTCATGAGCAAATCGTTGAGCCAAGAAATGATAAGGTGCTAGTTCTTGGTAGATCTAAAACGAAACACCCGAAACACCCTGATCAACCAATTACTGCCCACATTCCCTGCACTAGCAGTCTCCGCTGTGTAGATTACGTGAAGTAAGAAAGAAGTAGAAAGTAAATGGAAGATAAAGGGGAATGAAAGGCATTTAAATGAAGGATAACACCAAAGAGTGAAGAGAATGACAGAATAAGAACTAAAAGTTTGAAGATGGATATGGTCAAAAGAAGGGAAAGGCTTCGTGTTGCCACCCAAGAGCGTCTAACTGACGCTCGAAACCCTTAACCGTAGGTTCACTGACTACACTTTCTGGAAGCGAGTTCCAGCGCTCGATAAGTCTACGCGATAACCGAGTATCCGCCCTGATCCGGTCAGAACGCGGCTTGTGTAGCTTCATGGGATGACCGCGAAGACAAGGCAACCTAGCCGGACTAAATAGCCAGCTCAAGTCCGGTCCAACCTTCCCTGTTAAAATGCGGTAAGTAAGGATCATGTCTCCTCGAAGCCGCCGGTAGTGCATTGAATACATACCCAAGCTAAGTAGACGCTCAGGGTACGATTGCCCCCGTAACCCCTCGACCAATTTGGTA